GACGTGTGCTCTTCCGATCTAGTGAAAGGACATACGACCTTTCTGGGACACCCTGTATACAGGGTGTTTATAAAATCTGATCTAGCTTAATATCTCGGAAATTGCTTTAGATATAAGAAAATGTTTGAAACAAAAAAGTTGTAGAATCAAAGGGGACATATGATGAAAATATGGTATTGGCCTTGAGTGACCTTCTGAAGGCTAGGTCATTGTGACCGACGTTTTCTTAAATGGAACTTTCTATTTTTTATTACATATTCTTGTAGCTTACCCCGAGAACTTTTCAAAGCACTATAATGAAGTCTTTTTTTAATCAGTACTTTTAGAATTATAAGAATTGAAGAAAGTTACAGTACCGAAGGCATTATCTTTATCCAAGGTGTCCGAACAATGGCTAAAATCTTTTAAATGTTGTTCAGGATCATGAGCTTGACAACATATCAAGGTCATGATCAGTGAAGGTTGTTCCTCTTTTTTTTCAAAAATGTAAATAAAAGCATCAACCTTTAATGGCCTTGATCTTGACATATGTTGTCAAGTTCATGATCCTGAACAACATTCAAAAGGTTTTAGCCATTGTTCAAACACCTTGTGTCTGAATACACCGATACTATAACGTTCAATCCACATAACTCGAAAAGTAAAGGTTAAAAAAAAAGGCTTCATTATAGTGCTTGAGAAAGTTCTTGACACCAGATTCTGGAATCAAAAATAGGGTTTCATTTAAAAAAATCGGTGGGACCTTGATCTGATCTTGACGACGCCACCCAAGGTCAAACTGATAAAATCATTAGGTAGATTCTTTTAAGCCCTACAACTTCTAAAACATTTTTCTCAAAAACGCTTAGTTTCCGAAATATTAAGAGGTTGCCACTTTTCGGACACCCTGTACGTGTTTTAACACAATTAAATTGAGAGAAGGCCAACGAATGATCATAGCAGGTTCTTAGTACTCACTAATATTTCTATGTGAATTTTACATACATATTCTAGTTTTATAAACTGCGCGCCGCTACTTTTCGGTCTCAACGCACTTCTTGTTTAAAACAAAATACATAGTAATACGACATTATTAAATTGATAATCAATTTAATAAGTACTGATGCTCACCGGCATCATGCAAAAATATCTTTTTTTTTTTTCAAAATACGTGAGAAATCTTAAAATATATTCGAAAATTAAAAAGCCTATTTTAAAGTTTTAAAATAATAGATAATATATAATAGATGGCTTAAAAAAGATCCGCTCTTGATTTTTCGATGATCAAAAAATCTATTGTACCAATTTAAAAATCATTACTTAATATAAAAATAATTATAGCAAATTACACTGTGTAACACAATTTTTCAATACGGGTGTGAATAGTCATTTCCAACGTTTTTTTGCCTGCTGAACGCGAATCCGTCAACAAAAGTTGGCTATCACATTAATTTTGAGAAAAATGGCCTTAAAAGGGTGAAGATGATTTTGAAGTTTAAATTGAAGATGTAGCACTGGCAGCTAATTTTTTTGCTTAATTTTGTTAATGACACATGAAAGCTTCAACTTTTAAAATACATTTTGGTTCATAAACGACATGCTTCCTCTTTCCGAGATATAATTTGAATATATAGTTTCTCTCAAATAACACTCCAACAAATTTTAATTTTTTCTTTCATCACAAGTGCAAATAGTCATTTCCGTATTTTTACTTGCTGAATACAAATCCGTTGGCAAAAGTTGACTATCACGTAACAATATTGAGAAATTTCTACAATTTTGTTTTCGACCCTTTGACATATTTTTTTTCAAAATTGTGACGTGATAGCCAATTTTTGCCAATAGATTCGTGTTCAACAGGCAAAAATACGTCAGAAGTGACTACTCATACTAATTCTATCTAAAAAAAGCATGTTAAGTCGAAAAAACCTAAATTTTAAAGATTAATATCTCGACAGCATGGACATAGGAATATAAGGGGACAGAGCACAAAGTCGTAACTTAGGCGAGGGGAGTGAAGCCGAAATGCGGGGGGAAATTGTGCCCAGTTCACTCTTATTGGGTCCCAGTTCACCCTCTCCACAGCAAAAATCGGTCTATTATAGGTCTATTATATATGTGTGTATCACACGGACACTAACAGCCAATCAAATTTGGACACAAATTACCTCGTCGCACCGTCCCGCAGTAGCTTTCCCCCCACAACTCTGTCCCTTTATATTCCTATGTCCACGCTCGACAGTAGTACATCATTTAAACAATGTATAAAAACTTATACGGTTATTTTTACTTAACCTATATGTTCATAAGAGATTGCCTTTTTCCGAGATACTATATATACGGGTGTCCCGTAATGAGCGGACCAACGCTTAAGGGTAGATTCCTGAGATCATTTTAAGACAAAAAAAGTTCCAATACCAAAATGTTGAGGCTATAATAGTTTTTGAATTATTAGTGTTTAAAGTTAACTAATCAGATCGTATATATGAAATACAACAATTTTAAATACAATTTTAGTTATTAATTAATATGTTTGCAGAAATATTAATAAAAATAATCTTATATTCACATATGTAATCCTTATATCGATATTAATAAAAGGGGCGATAAGTCAACTTTTGTTTTTAGGAGTT